TTTAGATTATTCTTCTGAAAAAATATTAGTGCATTGCATTCACCAGAGAGTACAAAGTCGTCTAAAAGATGACTTAAAGACGATTAAATTGTTATAAAGATCTTTTAGTGAAAGAATATAATCGACGAAAAGATGACAAATGAATGATTAAAAGTCGACAGATGTTGCACTGCTAATCATCTTAGTCTTATTTATATGATAACTAAAGGATGATTTCTTTGGATATATTTTAGTTGTCTTTAAATTCTTCTTTAAATTTTTATATTTTGATATAATATAACGTTTAATATCATCGAATTCTTAAATTAATTTTTATATAAACCGAAATAAAATTGCAGGACTGACAATATATAATATGTCCCATTTCCTGCAATGTTTGCTGTGTTCTATATGCAAGAGTCATTATCTTTCATCATAATTTCATTACCTTTCGCGATTCGATTACAAAAATATTTTATTTGTGTTCATTAAAACATACATAAATAAAATTCCCCATAAATGCTACACCTTTTATTCTGTCCTGATATGATTTTCAAACACGAAAAACTAAACTCCATCACGTCCATCTGGTGGCGATCTCGCGTATTGTTCGCGAGTGGTAAAAAGTACGAAAATAACGGAAAGATATCTTTTTCATGTTATCTTTTCGGCAATACGAAAAGATATGTTTTAATCACAAAACATTTTGCTTTGTGAAAATAATAACCATGGAAAAATGAAAAGATGTCTTTTTGAAAACTAAAATATATCTTATAGACATCTCTTTTGGTCTTGCTCAAAAGACCAAAAGACTCAAAAGACTCAAAAGACAATCTAAAAACATCTTATACTGTTTGAGTTATTTTGTCTCTGTGACAGATTTACTAACTTAAATGGTCATCAACTTTAATGCTATTAATATTTCGGATTACAGGGCAGGCGACACTTTTTTTTAGATTCTTTTGTTCCATGCAAAAACGCGTCGAATAAGTCTAATTTCTTCGATTTTTTTGAAAAGTACCGTTGCTAAACTGAATAATTACCGTAAAATTTTAATATTGCAAGACTAATGACCCAATACAAATTACTAAAAGATAACGGAAAGAAGTCTTTTTTTAAGTTGTCTTTCCAACAAAGCGAAAAGGTATCTAAAAAATGACGAAAAGACATTATTTTTAGATTGTCTTTTCAGCAAGACCAAAAGATGTCTATAAGATATATTTTAGTTTGGTCGAAAATACAACTTAAAACAACATCTTTTCGTCATCTTTCTATAGTTGCCATTTTTGCAAAGCAAAAAATCGACTAAAAGATATCTTTTTATATTACCGAAAAAACAACATAAAAAAGATATTTTTCCGTTATTTTGGTACTTTTTATTACTCATTCGCGAGCAGTACGCGAAATCGTCATCAGCTGGACGTGATAAAGTTCAGTTCTTCGTGTTTGAAAATCATACAGGACAGAATAAAAGGTAAGCAAAAAAGGTAAGGCAGAAATATGAAAAATTTTACTCGTTCTAATAAACACTAATAAAATATTTTTTTGTAATCGAATCCCGAAAGGAACTATGATGGAAGATAATGACTCTTGCACATAGGTCACGACAAACATTGCAAGAAATGGGACGTATATTGGATGTCATTATTTGACGTTATAGTTACATACGAGTATCTGTACTGTAAATGACGTTGACACACAATTTTAATATAAATAATATCGGTTAGGAATCAGTGTGTCCATATGCTTAAAATATCACAAAAAGAGATTGTTAATGAAACTTTAATCCCATTTTTCTCAGAACAGTGTTTTAAAAAATGGTGGACATTAGAAGTACCACAAAATTAATCCAAATACTTTGAAATTTGGCAAATATTGTCAATTAAATATTGTCAGTTGAATTATCTGAAGAAATATCTGTGATTTTTTGCGACTTATACATTTTTTTGTAATTCATACTTTTATATTAAATTTTTTAAAATTAAACTTTTTTCACACATGCATCATTTTCACATTTTTTATTATTTTTTTTAATTAGACAGGTATTTCTTTAGTAAATTTAATGCAAATTAAAAATAATTAATAAAAAATAAAATTTTTGATATTTTGAACCTGTTTTGCTGTCCATCGTGAATACCTTTTTCATACGCAGGCGAAAGACCTTCTGTAGCACTGCCATATTTTATTTGCTAGGAATATAATTATTACACATTTTGTACACTAATAGTGTTTTTCACTGGCTTCCAGAGTTACTTCGTACTCAGTGCATTTTAAAGCCGCAAAAATATAGAAACGAATGAAACCGCAAAATCCTCAATATATTTTGTTGTGCTATTTCTAAATATACATTGGATATTTTATTAATTGAGATATCTCACTTTCACATTCCGATTAGATTAGCGTACAACAGCTTTAATATGCACTGAGTGCGCAACAGTTCTGCCAGTGAAAAACGCTATAAGATAAAAATAACAAATACAAAAAGATATAAAAAGATTTTTTGTATTATGTATAGGTTTTTTAGTAATCAACTCCCAAAATAAGATATGACTTTTAGGCCTCCAAGAATAATAATCTCTTAATGTACCTATACTAGGGTAACTCCGGTATATACGCCGCACCTATCAAAAACTTAATTTATTAAGTATTATTTACTATGTTTATAAAGTACACAAATTCAGCAAAAATTTTATACTGTCTACTATTATGAAAAAAATATTAGAAATCTGAAATATTTATATTTTGTATTAAAAAATGAACTTTTTTAAACCCTTGCATTTTTGCTGTATATCCCATAAGGGTAGGATATATGGTTACTCATAGGGAGAGGGGGGAGTATGTATGGCTTATAAAAAATAATACATATAATACAAATAATATATATAAATAAGACGTAAAATGACACAATAACTTATAAAATGCGTTTATAAAGTTTTATTAAGGAATAAGAATGATAAATATGTATATGAAGTAATAAATAATAATTACAATCTACCCAGATGTATCACAAGTGTTACGACATGAAATAATACATATTTCATGTAATTTATTGTAATATATAATATTAATATATAATATATAATTATAATTTCATGCATTTATTGTATTTAGTGCACTGAATTCAATCTGCGCACTTTATATGCTTTGGCTATAAATCTTGCCTGTTAAAAATGCCATATATCCCAAACAGGTGAGATATACGAGACAATAAGCTAAACAAAGAATACAGAACAAAGTATTTGTATTTTATTATACAACATGCTTTACTATTCCTCTACGCTCATGTATCACGAAATAACCACTAAATCTTTTGCACGTCCCACAGTAATTATTTTATGTAGATTATAATTTATGATCGTGCTACTTAACACAGTGACAAATCAATTCAACTCACAATAATTTCATTAATATTAACAGTATAAGAAACTAAAATCATAATACAATACTAATATAACATAAAAGCATATAACAGAGTAGTTGCAGAAAAATTACCCCTACTCCTTCTATTTTTTGTTTACTTCTGCAGCGTAAATCGCGGCGTATTGATCGGAGTTACTCTATATTATATTGAGTAAATTTTCATATTCGAAGAGTCTTCGAATATAGCCTAAATTAATGCATCACGAAGAATACCTGCTTCAATTCAATAAATAACCATTCCTACGATATGTTGCTTTACGAGTCTTTAATCTTATGAGAATCGATCATTCGAACGAATGATCGCTAATTGTGATAATTGTACAGAACAATTATCTGATAGGTATTAATCATAATTGCGACTCGTAGATTAATATTATGATATAATGAGCGATACACATCCTATCGACCTCCTTACACCCTTCAAACCTCACCGTACGAATAACAATGATAGCACATGACAGCACGGCGACTTTGTTAAGTACGCAGCGACATGCTATATGTGCGTCATCTTGCACAAGTACTATGGTCCACAAAGCATCGCGATAAAAAAATCTCACCAATACATCTTGGTCTTCTGCGCTGCAGTCGTCGAGGGATGCAAAATTTAGAAGAAATTTGGTATATATTATTTATTTCGATTCGATACCTCGCGTTATCTTTTTAATGTCTGATCAAAAAGATTATCAATGCGGTGAATCAAAATGATTAAAGAACTTTCTAAAAAAAAATGAACGTCATTACTGTGCTCTGTAATGGAAGAACGATGTTGCTTAACTTAAAAATAGTAACATGTATTTCTTATATACAATGTAATATTAATATGCAAAATATTTTATGTAAAGAAAAGCATATATTAGTACATCTATCATATAAAAAAACTATACATCATATGTAGTACGTTGTATTTCGTATTAGGTTTTAACTCTACATTACTCGCTAGTTTTTTTCACGTATTTACTTGCATGAAAATCATTTTAAAGTTACATATGAATCAGAAACTTTCGGTCATTATATCTATACATACATTTATATATGTTAAACAACATTACATCTTAATTTTCATAGTTTGATGATTCATATTTTCAATTAAAAATTCAAATAATATTTTATACATTCTTTATTTGAAAAAAAAAAGCAAAAGAATTTTTTTTAATTGTGAAATAATTTATACAAAATATAACAATATGTATAAATAGCATTCATAGTTCTAGCGAATTTATAAAGAGCTTAAACATCCCACCAGAATAATAAAAGATTAACATATAATGTTAATAATATGCACAATATTAAAAATAGAATTTGGTAGAAACTTATTTCCTTAGATGATATGTATAAATTTTAAACATTATTTTTAATTTTTTGATAATTACTAAAAACTTTTTATTCTTTAGTTCGTGTCACTATCGATATTGCTCTAACAGCTTCCTTTTACTTCTTATGATTTCTGTGCCGTTCTCTGTTATCAGCAACATCTCATTCATGACGTTATCCAACAATTTCGCAAGGATTCTCTTTCTCCTACTTCGAGTTTCTTCGGTCGTCGAGAATAAGGCGACATGTGAACACGTACAACTTCGATAATCCGGGAATGTCTGTGTATATAAGTGCAGAAAAACGATGTAGCGCGACAGAACGCGCGACAAAGAGCAGCACTAGGTGCAATATTGCCGATCGTCGGTGCACGCGAAATAAGACGATATCTGCTTGTGTATGACGTGATCTAACCGGATCTACTTACGTACGCAGAGAAAAGAGCGGCTCCACTTTTCCATCTAGTTTGTCTATCAACCGGAGATCTAAAATATCTCGGACGAAAATGGCCAGGAAAGTCTGTCACGTCACATTGATTATTTCATTGTTGATCTGGTAAGTTCTTCTCGATAGATAGTCAATTATTCCTTCCCAGCTATTCAATAAAAAAAGCGGTATACATTTACTGCCAGCGCTAAAAACCTATACTTTACGTTATGTGCGCTACAAAGGAGGACCAAATTTTCGAGGATTTCGTGACCACTCGGAGATTATTTTATTTCTGTCATATTGTTTCCTTATGTATTTTTCTTGGTAAAAACCGAAAATGATCATTATAATAACGCTAAACTGAAGGAAAAATTGGTATAAAGTCAATAAAATCCTTATTCGCATCGTTATAAAATCACTGTCAATTATACTTCAATGATTTAGAAATTAATTCCAAATTGGATCAAATGCAAGTAATATTGCACTACAAAATTAGGTTATATTTTTCATTAGGACATTGTTATAAAAAAATTAATAATCTTGTAAAAAATATGAAAACATGAAAATACGATAATACATCAATTATTACCTTCCAACTAATCGTCTTTACGAATCATTTTGTATTTTTAAATTTGATTTATATCGACTGTATAATGTATTGATAATTGGCAAAAAAGTCCTCTTATTTAAAAAACAATAATAAATGACGAGATACTCTCTTTCTTTTTATTCGAACTTAGGATCGACAGTGATAAAGTTACATCTCCTATTTACGTATTTACATATTTACATACACACACACACACACACACACACACACACACACCACACCGGGTGTCTCAGATCATACACTCCTTTTATCTCGAAAACAGAGCATTTTAGAAAAAAAGTTCAGATAAATAATAAGTTAGGGTTCTAAATGATCTATTTAGTGATCTGATTAGTCTGACTTTGGATGGCATCACCAAGATCAAAGCAACTTTGAATTTTTTAAATAGAACCCCTTATTTTTTATTGCATATTCTTGTAGCACATATAATAACATTTGTTAAGATCAAGGTCACACATTGGTGATTGTTTCTCTTATTTTTATTTTTGCATTAAAAATTTATTTTATGTAAAAATGAAAATAAGAGAAACAATCTTCCTTGACCTTGATCTTAACAAATGTTATCCGGGACATGATCCTGAACAGCATTCAAGAGGTTTTAGTCGTCGGTCGAATCCTTGCGTAATGCCGGCGGTACTATAACTTTCAAGCCTTATAACTTCATGAAAAATTATTTTATTATAGTGTTTTGGAAAGTTCTCGAAGAGTGCTACAAGAATGCAATAAAAAATAGGAAGTTTCATTTAAAAAATTCAAAGTGCTATTGCTCTGACCTTGGTGACGCCACCCAAGATCAGACTGATCAAATCACTAAATAGATCATTTAGAACCCTAACTTTTATCTGAAACTTTTTTTCTAAAATGCTCTGTTTTCGAGATAAAAGCGGTGTATGGATGATCTGAGACACCCGATATATTAGGTTAAGTAAAAAGTCATCGCGTTTTTTTAAAAGACATCTATCAGTAAAAACCGCAATTACTTTCTTACCAACAATATAAATATATCTTGATAGAGTAAAGTTTCAGCTTTAAAAATCTCTTTTTTAAATTATACGATACGACAATTTTTAATGGAGTTATGAGCAATTAAAGTCAAAATAATTCTTTTATTTAATCCGCGATAACTCAGTAATCAAAAGTCGTAGGAATATT